TTTTTTTTTTTTCCTAACGCATTTCAGAACAGAATGCAACATTCAACTTCAGGGAATAAAACATGCTAGACAGATTATGTTACTGGCATTATTGCTAGGCAGAAAAGAATTGCATTAACGAGTGGTACCCATTGCTAAAGAATGTGACTGTAGGGGCAACTTTGGAACTACTGGCGCAGACAGAATGCTGAAAATGGTAGCTGAGAACAGGTGATAGATACAAAATACGAAAATTCGGCTTACTCCTGTGTGTATTTTGTTTTTTGCTATCTACTACAGCTGTCCAGTTGCGGTACTACTTTGAGGTCCAGTTGCGGTACTACTTTGGAAATGAAACGAAACATTCCATACCAAATAATTTTTAATTTAATTTTCGTTTTTGATTTACTCCTTACTCGTACGTAGTTATATGACTTTTTATTTTCTTTAATACTACTTGTCATAACTTAATCACTACTTTATTAATGTTTATGCCCTGTCACAATCTATACTAACAGATTAGTTGCTAACTAGCTACTCGATGGTAGCTTCTTCAACTTTTTGAGGAATCCCTGTAATTCGAAAAATCCATTAGCTGTGTCTTGTGAAAGCAGCAGAATGTTGCACGTCCCATCTTCAACAAGCAAATCCTAAATGTCAACTTCTGTAATTTCATTTTGACGGTTCAATGGTATACTTTACTAGAATTCGAGAAGACGGTAGCTTATTCTAAATTGACAGTTAATCAAGAATGTTTCAGCCTTTGAAGTTTTAATTTCTATATAGGGTATGTTTTTTCGTGCAGTAGTTACAGTAATTTTGTGGAGATTGTTTAAAATGGTCATGGAATAACTTTAGTGGTTTTGTGAAATATTGAACAGAGAATATTATGTTTGGGGTTGGATTTTATTTTATCCTGAGAAAGGATAAAAGTTGAAATAAAGTGATATCAGGCATTCATCTTTTTTCAGCATGTGCTAACTTGGACGGTTTACGGATTTATGCAAAGTTGGTTGCTGCGTCAGTTTATGAACATCGTCTATTTTATTAATCACTTGAAGTGTTCAGTTACATAATCCGCAAAAGTCGCAAAAAGTGCATTAGCGAGCGAGAAGACTATCGAAATAAGTTAGCATATTTTGCGGCAATCCTCGCTATTGAAAATTGACTGCTTAATTCAAAAATACGTCAGCTCTGTGCAGCCTCAATTGACTCTCCCACAACAAGTAAAATTTGATCGAATTTGGTTTTCCTAATCACAGAAGATAATCTGCAGTTTCATCCACTGAAAAAAGAGTATAACGGTGATCTGATGAAACAACTGCAGTCTCATGATAAACGAAGAATTTCGGCTAAAACAAGAAATGTTGCTAAAATTCGACCGAATAATAACAATTTACCCATTTTTATGCATGGTTCTGCAAAGTTTTATAACAAACATCCTTGCTTCTGTGTTACTAGTTGTCTCTCCAAATAACACAGCACGAGAAATAATGCAAAAGTAGAAAGCTGCAATTTCAATACGGAACTTTCAACAACGCCTGAAATCAACTTTCAGATCTTTCTAGATGCCACGGCCCTTGACGATTGAATAAAATCCTTGTCATTGCTTACATAGTTTGAGTACTGCATATCTTCAAAAGCAATATTTTAATCAGGGAACAAAGAAGCCGCAGACAGGAGATTTTTCGGTACTTTGTCTGACAAGTAATGCATGATAAACTGCCATTCTAAACTCTCAGCAACCTGTCTTTTGACTCCAAGTTTAGTTTAGACATCCATAAAATTTTAAACAGGAATGAATTGCTCAATTTCAGATTTGCTTTGTTCTGACCCTCTGCTTAACTTTCCTGCAGGATTCAGCGCATTTCAAGCCATAAGCTTGAAAATTAATGCTTTACAGGCTCAAAACATGTCGCAATAAAAACCATTTATGAATTTTGTGAAACGTTTAGCCACTACATCAGTATTCCAGAAGCCCACTGTTCGTGTGTCGTTCTTATCAATGATATGTTTTGTATGAACGCAACAAAATAGAAACAAATAGAATGATAAAATTTCATAACAATAGCTGATAAATGAACTGTGACGAGCTGTCGAGAGTGCGAGATTGACCAAGCGACTGACCGTGTGTCACGGTCACGACTGACCGTGTGTCACGGTCACTACGCAAGAGGCTTGCACTCTCCAAGCGATCCATTCCATACGCCGTTCACGCACATTTTCCAGTAATTTCCCTTTACTTCGAGGTAATGGTCTGGCGGACAGTGAAGCATCGCCTGTGTTCCATGAGGATATCGCACATCCTCCGCAATCGGCAAACCCTGCAGAATATATCGATATCACTAAAAATCAACTGATATTGTTCTTA